GCCCAGGCTGGAGTGCAGTGGCCGGATCTCAGCTCACTGCAAGCTCCGCCTCCCGGGTTTACGCCATTCTCCTGCCTCAGCCTCCCGAGTACTGGGATTACAGGCTTGAGCCACCACGCCCAGCCAGTGAATAATTGGCCCATACGGGGATCATTTTTTGTATTTTTAGTAGAGATGGGGTTTCAGCATGTTGGTCAGGCTGGTCTCGAACTCCAGACATCAGGTGATCCGCCCGCCTCGGCCTCCCAAAGTGTTGGGATTACAGGCGTGAGCCACCGCGCCCGGCCAAATTTATTTTTTGAGATAATCATAAAACATAAAGTTCACCATTTTAGAGTGTACGAGTGGGTTTTAGTACATCCAAAGTGGTACGGTCTCCACCCCTTTCTAATTCCAGAACATTCCATCACCCCAGAAAGCAGCCCTGCCCCATCAGCTGTCACTCCTGGTCCCCTCCCCAGCCCCGGAACCCCGGCACGTGCGTGTCCGTCCCAGCACCTGTGGGCTGGCCTGTTGGATGGGTCCTATGAACGGATCCTACACTGGGAGCAAAGCCTTTTGGATCTGGCTTCTCTCATTGAGGAGGGTGTTTGTTGTCCCCCTGAATTCAGTGTCACCGAGGTCCCCTTTATATGCTGTGGCCTTGGGACGGTCCCAAGCCGTTGCAATGTCCAAGAAGCAGTGTGGCCTTACTGAGAAGGCTGCTTTAGATCACAAAGGTGCATCCGAGGGCAGGAAAGGCATGTGGTCGAGCCATGCAGGTCTCCCCACGGCCGGGGCTCGAGGGTGGAAGGGCTGGTCCCACGGACGGGATCCCGCACAAAGACTGGGGCTGGACAGACGCTGCCCTCCGTGAGCGAATCCGGCCCGGCTCTGGGCTCCAAACTCTGTGTGTAGCTTCTCCTGGGTGCGGGCCGAGCTGAGGTGGACGGGGAGAGTCCTGGGTTCGGCGGGGCCCTGCAGATCCCAGGCCGTCAGTTGGGGATTGAATACAGTGGGGGAACGATCCCAGCTGCCCGCTGGACATGGCAAAGGGGCTGGGGGACAGCACAGAGATGACCACGGCTGCTGTGGGCAGTGAGGTGGTGGGGCTGTGGGAGTGGGGCTGGGGTGACAGAGATGACTGCGGCTGCTGTGGGCAGTGAGGTGGTGGGGCTGTGGGAGCAGGGTGGGGGTGACCGAGAGATGACCACAACTGCTGTGGGCAGTGAGGTCGTGGGGCTGCGGGAGCGAGGGGGGGGTGACCGTGACCGTGCCTCTCCCGCCCCTGCAGTGGCTGTCTCTGGGCGCGGACTCCAACGGGAGCGGCGTCTCCGTGCTGCTGGAGCTGGCACGCCTCTTCTCCCGGCTCTACACCTACAAGCGCACGCACGCTGCGTGAGTGCCAGGGGCGGGCAGGGGGATGGGCGCGGGGGCCATGCTGCCGGACAGCGCCACCCACCAGGCGCCTCTGCAGCTGTTTTTGTGAAGCCTCCTGGCCCTGAAGTGGGCCTTAGCCCAGGAATTGGGGTGCCTTGTTTATCGAGGGCTAAGCTGAGGTCTCACAGGTTCCGTTTCTTGGAGGCCCACGGGGCCCGGCTGCTGCTCGCCCCAGGAGCCTGCTGGGGATGCTGTCAGCTGCAAATGGTAGAGACTCCCGGCTAAGGGCCCTGGAACCGGGGGATCCCCTCAGCCCTGTGTGGGCAGGGCCGGATTTTTTGCTGGGGTGCAGCCATCCTGGGCACTGCAGGGCACTGAATAGCATCCCGCCCCCACCCACTCCATGCCGGCAATACCCCATAGTCGTGGCGGTCACAGGTGTCCTCAGACATCGCCCACTCTCCACTGGGGGCAGAATCAGCCGTGGTTGAGACCCCCCCTGGGTCAGGGGATTCCATGGAGCCCCAAGAGACTGTCCCATGCTCATCTGCCCCGCTGAGGTCCCAGAAGGCTGCACACGTTGAAATCCACACCCTGAGTAGGAAGGGAGAGAGGAGGTGAATCCCAGGAGCTGGGGGACCCCTGGTTTGTACCATCCGCCCCGTCGGGAGTTTATCCTGGTGTCTGGTGTAAGCAGGGGGCAGACTCGATTTTTCCCCAGATAATGAATGCAGGCTTTGTCCCCCGTGGCCCTGTGGACGTCTTTGGTGGATGACTCTGTCGTGGGCGCCACCCACTCCGTGCCAGGAGCGCCCCCAGACGTAGCAACCACAGATGTCTCCAGACATGACTGTGTCTCCCGTGCGGGGTGGGTAGAATCACCTCCAGGTGAGACCCTGGCCCAGACAGTCACCCGCTCCCGAGACAGTACTGCTGTCGTCATTGTGTCAGCAGCTCAGAGAGGCCAGGGCCACTGTGGCTGAGACGTTTCTCAGCCTTCTTACAGTCACAGGGCGCCGGGAGTCACGTCCAGGTTTAGGTAGGAACTTGGACTCGAGCTCCTGGCCTCAAACAATCCTCCTGCCTCAGCCTCCTAAAGCACCAGGATTACAGATGTGAGCCACCACGTCCAGCCAAAATTTTTTTTTATTTAAGCTGCAGAACCGCTTCCCCCAGCCCCCCACTGATGCCTTTTGAGAAGCTCATGCTTTCAAACATGTGTGAACAGGGCTGGCTTCTGCCAGGCCCGGGGGCTTCCTGGCAGCTGGGGCAGAGGTTGGGTTTCCGGGGCAGAAGGGACTGGGTTGGAGAGAGTCCAGGGCGGACATGGGAGGATGAGGGTAGGGGACATGCTGAGCAGTTTCCTTCTCTGATCCTGGTGACCCTTCTAACAGCCCAGGCTGTGTTCCATTAGAATTCTTGGCCCAGCTAGGTGGCTCACGCCTATAATCCCAGCACTTTGGAAGGCCGAGGCGGGTGGGTCACCTATCAGGAGTTCAAGACCAGCCTGACCAACATGGTGAAACCCCGTCTCTACTGAAAATACAAAATTAGCCAGCTGTGGTGGTGCACGCCTGTAATCCCAGCTACTCGGGAGGCTGAGGCAGGAGAATCGCTTGAACCCGGGAGGCAGAGGTTGCAGTGAGCCGAGATCGCACCACTGCACTCCAGCCTGGGCGACGAGCGAAACTCCGTCCTAAAATAAAAAAAAATCTTCTTTAAGTGAATAGACTTTATTTTTTTGGCCTCCTGGTGTCTGTTGACTGGTCGGTCACCCCGGTTCCTCCTGGGCTCAGAGAAGCCTCTAGAGTTGGGGTCTAATGTGGGGAGGCCCTGCTGCCGGGAGACACTGCTGAGTTGTGGTTGTCATTGGGGGAATCTCCCAGTTTGGGGTGGGTGAGGCCAGGGATGCCGCTCAGCACCCTCAAGTGCCCATAACAGCCCCACCCCCGAGAACCATCTGGCCCTGGTGTCCACAGGGCTGAGGGGTCATGCCCTGCCTTGAGGGACTGGTCAGGATTTCCGACTTTGGGGAGGCCTTCATACCCCTCCTCAGGGACCTGTGACCTGGCCTGGTCCCTCCTCCAGCCCCGGTGCTTGCCTGTCAAAGCTGACGCCAGGTTTTCCCCCGCCAGGTACAACCTCCTCTTCTTCGCTTCCGGAGGAGGCAAGTTTAACTACCAGGGAACCAAGCGCTGGCTGGAAGACAACCTGGACCACACAGGTGAGCGGCCCCGGGTGGGGGTGGGGATGCCGCAAGGGTGGTGCTGTGGGGAGGCACGGAAGGAGGGCCGGGGGCCACTTCCCAGTCCCCACCCGCCCCGCCAGCTCTCGGTGCCCTGCAGACTCCAGCCTGCTTCAGGACAACGTGGCCTTCGTGCTGTGCCTGGACACCGTGGGCCGAGGCAGCAGCCTGCACCTGCACGTGTCCAAGCCGCCCCGGGAGGGCACCCTGCAGCACGCCTTCCTGCGGGAGCTGGAGACGGTGGGTGCCCCTTTGACGGATGGGCCCCAGGCTCTGTGGGGCACACACGTCGGGGCTGGGTTGGGGCGTCTTGTCCCAGGGTGTCCTTGCTGTCTGCCCCTGGGGCTCTGAGGGGCACACTGCATCGGGGCTGTGCTGGGGCCTTCTGTCCCGGGGTGTTCCACTGTCCCTCCTTACCCAGAGCTCACTGTCCACCGGGGCTCTAGCTGGCCTCAGGGGGGATCCCGGGGGCAGGTGGGTTTCTCCTCGTTTTACACCCTCGGGGGTTCTGGGAGGCCCCTGGGGCATTTGGGGAGTGGGCCTGGGTGGCCACCACCCCTGCCTGCCCTCTGCTGATGGCACCTCCTGCTGCAGGTGGCCGCACACCAGTTCCCCGAGGTACGGTTCTCCATGGTGCACAAGCGGATCAACCTGGCGGAGGATGTGCTGGCCTGGGAGCACGAGCGCTTCGCCATCCGCCGGCTGCCTGCCTTCACGCTGTCCCACCTGGAGAGCCACCGCGACGGCCAGCGCAGCAGCATCATGGACGTGCGGTGAGCATGGCAGCGCCACCCAGCCCCTCCTAGAGCTTTCCTGGGGGCTGAGCCACAGGTCGCAACTCCAGGGGCCATGAGAGCGTGGAGGGAGCGGCCCCCACACACAGGCCGTGGGGAAGAGGCTGGTGTGTGGCCGAGGCCGGCTATTCGGTCAGGCTATTCACAAGCTCTTCCTTACCGGGGCTAGGGAGGGCGAGGCCAGCAGCCTGGGGTCATGGCCCTATGTGGGACCCCCAGACCCTATCACCTGTTGAGTTAGGAGAAAGCAGCTCCTGCCTCTGGGCTTCTTCAGGGCCCTGGCGACTGTCTCGGGGAGCCTGGCCCCCCACCACACCCCAGCTCTTCCTTGCCCAGCCTCCCTCTGGGGCACTGTCTCTCTGGCTTCCTGTGTCCTCTGACCCTGAGTCCTGCCTGTCTCCCTGCTGTCATGTGAGCCCCTGGGCAGGCTTTTGTGGAGCCTGAAACAGTCTGGCCACCCCGGCCGGTCCTGGCACCAGCAGGTGGGCGCCGTCTCCTCCCCCAGCGCCCGCAGGCCCGGCATAGACCCTTCCCGTTCATCCGCTCTGCTCTGAGGTCACTGGGCCCTCAGGAGAGGTACGAGCTCAGCCATCGGAGGCCTGCAGAAGCCCGTGGCGGGAGGGAGGGGCACGTCCCTGTGTGATCTCAGTCCTGGAAAGGATGGAGGTGACGGTCGCCCACCAGCCGGGAGAGTGCCAGGAAGTGAGGGTGGGCACATGGCTGTCCCAGCTGTGCTGAGCTCTCTCAAGACCACCAGGGGTCAACCCAGGAGGGCCACCTGGGTCCCAGAATGGATTCTTCCACCGGGACGGAATAGTCCTGTTTAAATCCCAGAAAAGCAGAAAACGGAGCCAGTAGGAACCAAGGCCTCGGGGCGCGAGCCTCACCTGCGCACAGGGGCGGGTCAGGGCGCGGGGCCTGGAGGTGGGGGGCCCCTGCTGAACCTGCGTCTGCATGTCAGCTGAGTAGTTAAAGCTAAGCTTAATTTTTTTTTTTTTAAGAGACAGAGTCTCACTCTGCCGCCTAGGCTGGAGTGCGGGTATTACAAGCGTGAGAACTACCATGCTTGGCTCCAAGTCCACATTTTAAATAATTGTTTTTGAATCGTGAAGGTCCCGGGTGGATTCCAAGACT